GGGAACAACATCTGAGATCTCTGTCCAGAAGAGCGCAGTCCTGGGAACAGCTAAGATACTGTGCAGGACCCTCAAGCTCCCAGGCCTCTGGTAGAGGACCCGAGCTTGATGGATATATATATATATATATATATTTACATTACCACAGTGAGATGACTTTAGTCTCATGAACAACATTAGCTAATTGTTATTTACTAAGTAATCTTGAAATGACTGTTCAGTACAGGAATGAAGCCCAACAATCATGTTTTATAGTCCCGTGGTTTCAGCCTCAGATACTCAACTAATCAAAGTGATGTCATGACAAAAATGAATGACCAACAAAACATTTTTTCTCCTTCATTTCTGTCAAACAAAGCTGTATGTAACGTTTCTCGCAGTTAGTATCATAGTTGCTTCACTTCCGCACTGCTCGTACTTATAGTACGCACCGTACGTACATATGTGTAGTGTGCATACTTCAAGCGTGCAGACCCTGAATTGGGACACAGCCACAGCCAGGCTACAGAGGAAGTGACAGGTAGGTGAGACAGGTAAGAGAGGAGAGCTATGCTGGAGTAATAAAGGCATGAAGACCATGAACGTGAGCATTAAATAGTTTTTTTTTTCTTGAATAGGGTAACCATATATTCAATGTAAAATGAAAAACAAACAAACAAACAAAAACAACAAGTCCCAGGTAATCCACCCACACTAATCCCAAACCTTGATTCCGGAAAGATATGCATGACGGGTATTTACACACCAGTTTTACCAGCATTAAAAGCTCACTTCAAGTAAACCTACTAAAGGAATACATGACTCATGAACTTATGTGGTTATAGAAGAGAACAGATGAGTATATGTACCAAACAAAAATAGGAACAAAAATAGGAACTTAAGTTAAGTTGTGGTAAAAGAGCAGCTTAACTCAACAGTCAAGTAACGCATCTAAACAAAATGTTAAGCCTGACCCAAGAAAGCCATTCTACCTAATTTAGCATTTAGCAACGACAAGGAAAGCTGGTTTCAACAATGGCCCAAACACTAACATGGTGTGAATATCCGGGATCATCCCCCATTCATCTTAAATGTGCGCACGGTATGTGGCAAGAAGCTTTGCTTAAGTACAAAATTAGGTATTTACCCAAAACTAGCAAAACACAAACAGCAAAGAAGACTGCTGCCAGACAGGATGGAAGAGAGACCTGCAGCAGCTGACAACATTCTCATGTCAGCTGTCTGATGTCAGATACACTCACACAAACAGAAAGGAAGAGGAAATGAAGTTATGTATTCATTTATATCACAGTGTGGAAGTTGGTTTAATGAATATTAACACATTCACACAAATAGGATAGGGCAGGGAGGGGCATCACAGTTCTGCACTGTTCTGTATAAGTTATTGGGGAAACTTCAGGTTTAACCTTTCACTTCTAACGGGGGTGGTGATTTATGCGTCATAGTAGTATGCAGAAGTCTCCATGTACTGTCCAGTCACTTCTGTGTAAATTATGTAAATTCAGTTGTTAGTGTGCAGGTATAGGAGAGTCTGTAGGTTTTAGAGACAGTCTGATGTCTTTGAAGTCTTTGCCTTTCCTTAATTAGCAAGCATAATTTACAGGAAACACTGATTTTCTGTGTGCGTGTTTCCTGTAAGATTACAAAGATTTTTTGTGTTAAGCATGCCTTAAATCATGGTTGCTACAGCAAGACATTTTATAATTGCTGACCTTGCAAGTAGGCTAAGCAGACTTCCTGGTCCGAGTTCTGTTTTGATATTTAAACTTCACTTGTCCTCAGCCTTTACACTGCGTTTCATCTCTGTGAAGATAAGGCAAAGATATCCTGGACATGCTGATCATGAATATGTTGATACCAAAGTTGAGTATACAACATCTCTGTGGGTGTCATGTTCCACTGTTTAGTAGGTGGTATACATGTGTGCTATACGCTCAGGCTGCTGGGGGACTTCCCATGATGCACTGTGCACTTCTTTTCCACTCCACATGCATTTATAGCTGAACATGTATTAATATTTACATTGAATTATTTATCCTGTTTTTTGGTCTTTTTTCCCATCGCTTTGCAACCAGTCACAGCATGGCCGCCCATTCCTGAGCCTGATTCTGTTGGAGGTCTCTTCTTCCCCACCATCACCAAGTGCTTACCTTACTTTACCTTACAATATAAAAGAGTTTCATGGGATGCTGTATAAATGCAACTGCACTGAATCACAAGTTTCTGGTAGGAAAATGTATGAACGCATACCTGTAAAGATCACGTGGTGTAATTGTGAGGTCCAAAACAGCTAAAAATAATATATGATATAATGAAATTTGATTTCTTTGTCTGTTTTTTAACACTTTACCTTGCACTTTAGAGGTTTACAGTTTTAGAGATATTGCATGATGCTGCATATTTCATCTGTTAGCGGTTCCTTTTTTTGTTTTTCCTGTGTACTCTAAAACCAGTTTACCTCGGTCACCAAAAAAACAAAACAAAAAAAACCCCTCTACAGACTCACCGCTAATTGTATGAGACTGGGCAGATGTTTGTGGTCTCGTTAGTCTTAACTTTACATGTCTCTGTCTAGCTAAGGTTTCTGTACACGCGCCAAATGAAACAGAGGGGGGACTGAAGCAAGAAACTTTGCCGAAACAAGCGCCCTTACCTGCAGTCTGGGTGTCCGGCAGTGTAATGCGTTTCCTGCAGACAGACGCGCAGCACAGGAGGAACTGAAGTGTGCTCCGCTTGTGAGAAGTTATGTTAACACATCAGCAGACCACAAAGTCACAAAATCACACTCACGCTCTACATAAACGCACCACTCAGACTCCACAGCGTCCTTCCTGTTTCGGTGCTCTTCGTGATCTTTATGCCCTCGTCTGTTTCTCAGAAACTTCCCGTTTGCTCTGTAGAAAATAAAACTTATTTTTAGGAAATTAAGCAAATTTATGCAGTGCTGTTTAGTTACAGTGGAGACATCCGACTTCAGTATCTCACACCATTTCCCTCTTACAGTCAAATCAAAGAGACACATGTCATTGACATTCAGCCTTCTTGTAGCAGAAAATAAAACTTCAAGGCCGCCTTATTGCCAACTATAGTGGGGTGAAATGTGTTCATGCACCAGTCTGCATATTTTAGCTCTAAACATTTGTTTGCTACAAATTTCCTGAGCATCCACTCAAATATTACAGAAGAAAATGTGGACTATTCTAAAGATACACCTGAGTCTGTCTATTACACAGCTGCAGAGCTGAATGAGAGTTCAATAGTAGGCATAAGTTCAAACTGCAGTTCACCACAGGGTCCACGAGATGGAGCTGTTAGTCTTTGACAGCTTCATATGTGCCCTTTAAGATTATTACCTGAGGGACTAGCTCATTTAGAACCAGATAATGAACAGCTTACACTTTGCTTCATTGACACTGATCTTGTAACACAGCAAAGCCCGATTCAAACAACAGAATTCACTAATTATTTATAAAAAATAAAATAAAAAACATCAGAAAAGCTAAAGTTTGATTTAGCATTTAAACAGATTAAAGTGGACCTGTTATTGCCTTTTCTTGTTTTCTGTCATATATCTACTCTTAAAATGGTGGATGTTCATATTAAAATCGGACAAAATAAATAAATCAGTGAATGTGCAAGTTTTCTGTGAGCTCAGATGGGTGTCAGACAGTTTTTTTCTTGAGTCGGTGGGAGGAGATATTCCTAACATGGTCATCTCAGTTTTTCTTATGAAGGTTTATCTGCAGCTATAACACAACTCCAAAAAGCTACAACATTGTGTTAAATGTAAATAAAAAAACAAAATGCAATGATTTTTCAAATCTCATGAGCCAATATTTTGTTCCCAGTGGAACATAAAAATCTATCAAATATTTAAATAATATCCTGTTAGCCCTGTGAGAGACTGGCAACTGTCCAGAGTATGCCCCGCCTCTTGCTCACTGGTAGCTGGAATAGGCTCCAGCCTCCCCCGGAGCCTAACAAATACATTATCATATTCCATGAAAACTACGAGCTGCAAAAAAGATGCATCTTTAATTTCAGAATAAGGTTCCTCAATGAAAAACTGACCTTCTCATAATCTACACTACATGATATCATGAAAAGATTCAGAGAATCTGGAGAAATTTCCGTGTGCAAAGAACAAGGATGAAAGTAACTATTGGATGCCAGTGACCTTCATGCCCTCAGGCATCACTGCATTAAAAAAATACAAATCTGTCATGGAAATTGGTGCATGGGCTCAGGAACGCCTGCAGAAATGCAGGTTAACCCTGTAACAGCAGGGGTATCATAACTGATACATGAGGTTTGGGGAGTTTATGAAACTTCTATATCATCAATATTACACAGAATCTAGGACAGGACATAAACAGCATGGGTTAAATGGTTTTGGCATTTGTTAGTATTTAAATTATCTGCAGTCACCAAATTAAAATGCTTCTTCTAAAATATATATTCAAATGTTTTATCTCATATGACTGTCAGGTACTAATAGAATATCAGTGCTCCTCACATTTTTGAGAACCAAGGACCCTGCTGACCCCCTCTGCACTCAAATTCATTTTTTTTATGTTTTTGTAGCTTAATACTTATTATAATCCAGCTGCTAATTTAACATTAAAAATATATATAAATTATAAGCTTTGCTATAACTTCCAAAAAATAAAAATATTGAATGCAAAGTTTCAAAATAAATTGCACTTTATTTTTCCAAAGCATTACAGAGGCAACAAAACACAGAGCTCTGAAGAGGGACCGTTTGTGCTTAATCAGACAGAGCAAAATCAGATTATGATGCATGAAGTTTGACAAAAGGACAACTTTACAAACCAGCTTCACTTTAGATCATCAAGAAACAAGTGAACTTCAACACTTTAACTTTGCTAAACAGCTGTTGCCAAAAGTGGCCATTAGAGGAAAATAAATAAACGTATACCCTTTATTCACTTCAGCTGATTTAAAAGGGATCAGTTCCGCCCATTTCCACTTCCAGGTTTTCATTTTTCACCACTGGGCCTTCCTGCATCTCATCCTCCCTCTGAAACAAGGCATTTTAACTCCTCCGTCTTTATGGCTACTATACATTTAGATCAATTCTGCAAAACCCCACTTCAAACACAGCATTACAGTTGGCACCTCACGTGCTCTACAACTTATTTATATATTTACAGAACTAAGCATGAAAATAAATCCTATTAATTTTTCTGCAAAAATAAAGGATGGTGTCAAACTTCTATTTTCTCTACAAAACTCATTTACCTCACGCAACTACGCCCTACATTTTTTACTTATGTCATGGACTCTGGGTTTTGTGCCTGAGCTTTTACTTTGTATTGATATTTGGACTCTTCTTTTTTATAGTTTTGGTTCATTTCTAGTCAAGTTTGGATTCTGATGTTATGGTGTTGGTTGAGTTTTGTAATCTTTGTAATCTTTATGTATCAGATTTTTTCTGGATTTTCTGGGTTCTTAGTTTTTGTTATGTGTTTGTGATTTGATTTGGAGTTTATATTTAATTCACCGAGTTTCAGTTTATGGTGGCGGGTGTGGTTCTGAGCCTAACATGACCATGTTCGTGTTATCACCTCTCAGTATACATAATATAAACATCCACAATTGGAACAGAAGACTTGGAAGAAAAGGAAAAGAGAAGCGGGTCTTCTTTAATCGTGGCTCAAGAGTTGGGACTTCATCTTGTAATCGGAAGGTTCCCGGTTCGAGCCCCGGCTCGGACAGTCTCGGTCGTTGTGTCCTTGGGCAAGACACTTCACCCGTTGCCTACTGGTGGTGGTCAGAGGGCCCGGTGGCGCCAGTGTCCGGCAGCCTCGCCTCTGTCAGTGCGCCCCAGGGTGGCTGTGGCTACAATGTAGCTTGCAATCACCAGTGTATGAATATGTGTGTGAATGGGTGGATGACTGGATGTGTAAAGCGCTTTGGGGTCCTTAGGGACTAGAAAAGCACTATACAAATACAGGCCATTTACCAAAAAAAGTAAAGCTGTAACACAAACTCCCTCCAAAAGCATTCACAATGAAGCAACTTTGTTTTCTATTGTGTGTTCATTTAAACTTTATTTTTTTTTAAAGTAAAGAGATTTATGTTCACTTTTAAAATTACACATTATAGATTTTCTCACAAACACATTTAAAATTTTTCTATACACACTGAGAATCTTTTATAATGCTTGCATAAGGTTTCGTTTGTATAAAAGCAAATAATGTGAATTAGAAAAACCCTTTAGAAAAGTTAAGACTTAACAAAAACAAAAAAAAAAAACCAACAACATTTAAGTCCACAGTTCTTGAATATCAGTGGATCCAGAAAGGTTCCCTGAGGGACGCCCTCAGGAAATTTTTCATTATAGAAACCTTAAACCTGCAAAGAATTTCTTAAGATAATATACATTTTCTTGAGTCCATTAATAAAAAGAAAAACACAAATACTTGAGATGAGAAAGTAATCATTTTTAAAAAAAATTTTTTTTAAGTATACCTAAAATTTCTGTCAGCTTCCTGCAGACAAATCTGCCAAATGACAAAGATAATTAACCCCTTAGCAGTCCAATTAGTCCCCTAAACCATCCAATGTCCCGTGGGCGGTACGTCCGACTGCTAAGGGGTTAAACCTTATATTAGATACTTCAAATGTATTTAAATCCATTAAATCTGTTATCAAAGTTCATTCTAAATCTATTTTAGGGGTGTAAAATAGATTTGACTGAAACCACAATTAGCTACAGTGGCCTGATCACTTGATCATGACTGGATCATGAGATGAAATGAATTACACTAAATGTGCTATGCTTCCAGTTCATTTATTACCTCAATGTTTAAACATCACAGCTTCCACAGTACGACAAGTTGGAACCATAATGCAATACTGGGGATGCTTCTATCCCGATTTCAGTTTCGGATTCAGAATTGTTCCACCCCATAATATATTTACCAAGTCTACTCTGTGTCAGGGTTCAAGTTTTTCTCTTTACTTTGTGTTTTTAGCACAAAGAATAAATCAAAGTGTTTACATTCTGAGCTATTACAAAAGGATGCAGCATATTTTCAGGTAGAGTAGCTTTTGAACTGCTTTCTGAAATCATAAAATCATAATCCTTGTACTAAAACACTGGTTAATCATTTCACTGTTTTTATTTGCCGTGTTCCCTGTTAAAAAGAAATGTGCATTTTTTTCTTCTTTTTAACACTTTCATGTCCCTGATAACGTTAGAAATGTATACAAATCTTAAGTTCTTTGAGAAAAGAACAAAAGATAAAAACATTTTTAGAAACCATATTATGCATACAAACCAAAATATCTAAAGAGGCACTAATGGCTCCTTAATTACAAATGGTGTTTTTACTAGAAAAATACTTCAACAATCATAAACGCTAAGGCTCTGATAATCCACTGATAAGTTTTGAAAATTAAAAAAAAAACAAAAAAAACAAAACAAGAAGTCTACTGAAAACAAAAACCAGCTTCATCTTCAGCAGATTCAGCATGCTATAATCTGTTATTTCAGATCAAAGCCCCAAAATAGAAGTTTTGCCTTAAATCTGGATGGTCAACATGTGAAACCTTTATTTTCAATGTTAAAAAAAAGAAGCAATGCTGAGAAATGTTTTAATTCAACACTAAACAGATCAAAAACCAGATCTATTTATTTCCATCATAATTTCATTCTTGGACTCTAGTAGTGTCCATTTCCATGACTGGCAGTTCAAAAGAATCCTTATTTATGTGATCCTGGGCCTTACTGCTGAATTCATTCATCCTCCTAAAACAAGCCTTTTAAGCTCCTCCCCCTTTAAAGCCTGCCTCTTTTCAAATTCAGTGGGTAGAATATGTAGAAGAACCACAAGTCAAAGCATCCAAATCAACCCACAAATTGGCCATTTTTAATTATGAGCAACCACTGTTTAAACAGTAAATATGACAGGAAATTAATAAAAGGTCCTCTTTAAATATAACAGTTAAGCTGTATTTAAAATCAGTGTATTATATATGATATGAGCGGCTAAATTATCTTCTCCTAAAAGCTTGAAGAGGTTATTATTGTACACTGTGACAGAAAATAAAATCTTCCACATTAGAATCACAGCTTCAACTTTGACATAAAACTAACTGGAAGATGGAAACTCACTTCTGTTGGTCAACTCAGAGTAACATTTGAGCTATTTTCATTGTTAGCTGTTGCCACCCAAAGTATTACAATTAAAAAAATCCAAAGAAAAAGAAGATTAAAATGAAAACAAAACAACACTTGTAGCCATATTGCCCAGTTTCTGTAGTACGAGTCACCCTAGCAGCTTAGGAGCTTTTGCATAATGTTTCATTAGTAAAAAAGGCACCAAATATTCATGACCTAGAAACTGGGTAAAAAAAAAACTTGAAGAGCTCCGAGATGGTTCCCTGAGGAACGCCTTCAAAATATTTTTTTATATTTGAAGTTTCTGTCATGAAGCATTTTTTAAATAATCTTTAGAAAACCCTTTCCTCCTTACATGTGAAACATTCAATATGGGTAGGTGAGGAAGATCAGGTTAGAAAATTAAAACTTTAAAGGGACAGTTCACCACAAATTCAAATCTCTATATTTGACCTCTCGCATGTAGTCCTCTGTATCCGTCTACACACTGCTTTGGTTTGAGTTGTCCATATGAGATTTTTTTGTGCTGTTAAAAGTGCCAAAAACTACAGCAGAGAAGTCTATTTCCAGAAATCCTGACATAGTTATTCCAAAAGCAGTTCTGAGAAATAACAATTTTCTCTTTACCAAACTACACAACTCTTTCTTTACCCTGCAATAAACAGGCTCCATCTACCTGTGATGAAGCTGAACAACAGAATCAAACATTAATTGAATCACCTTGGCTGAGCTGCATTTAGCTTGCTGCGCTCTTCGTTTAGCTGTCAGGTGTAAACAGTGGTAGGAAAACAGTTCCGTAACGAGGTTTGCAGAGGTCTTTTTAGAGTAACTGGGCCACAACACAGGTGACATTTAGGTCTGTAACATAGACCAGAAGGCAAAAATATATATATAGGTATCTGGATGAATTTACAGCACTACAGGCCAAAGGGAAAACATGGAAGCTGGAATGTTGCAGCAAACCAATCCTTCAAGCATCCATACATCTGCAGATAATTCTGCTAAATGATAGCAGCAATTTTAAAACTAACTCTGAGATGTAACTTTCCTTTATGATTAAAAAAATATATATAAAAACTGTAACAGTTGCAGTGTTTTTTTCCCCCCGGGTGGGGCTTGTTTTCAGCTTGGTGTTGTCAAAGGTTCCTTGACGACTTTAAAATCTTCAAATTTTCCATGACTGATAAATCAAACAGAAAATGAGCGATCAGTAGATTCCAGTATCAGGTTCATTAAGTGAAAAGCACTATGCCGGATTAGTTTCTTTCCTTGCTGTGGTGCTAGATTTTGAGATGAACTCCTCACCATCTTAACATGTTCGGTTAACTCCAACAGTCCACGATCTGCTGTTTTTATCCAGAACTATAAAATGATGTACTGCATTGCCTTTTATCAGGACCGTGAAACTTAAATGGATATTTAAAAGCAGAATATTAAAAACTCTTCCAGAAACCAGGTGAGAAAAATTGTCTCATCTAATAAAATTCAAACTGAGCTTTTCCTCCTCAGTGACTGAGCAGTTTGAGTCGAGCCAGCCAGCCGCCGAGCAGCGACGTGGACTGTTTGTTTACACCCTTAGTGGGAGAGACAGCGGCAGAAGTGGAGGCAGAAGCCTTTTTGGACCCCACTTCCTGGTAAGGTATGGTGGCTGTGTTGTGCAGGTTGGCGTTAATGTAGCACTGGCTGCCCCTGATATGGTCGACGCCACGTACAGATGGGTGACCTCGGTACGGCAGAGGGAAACACGGCTCCTCCTCCGTGATAGTGCTAATGCCCTCATTACTCCGATACATGTGCAGGACGTCCTTACCTGTTAGAAGACAACAGGTTAATTATTTAATTATTCGGCTTGTTTCATTTTAGCTGCGAGACCTTTAAATGACGGCTTTCATGTTCCTAATTACGACAACCTTGTACCGAAGAAGAAAGGAGGTAGTCCTACATACTGGATTTACATGCGAGTGAAAAGACATAATAAGCAAGTCCTCCTCCCTAAACGAGCTTCTATCCTTCCATCCTCCCTGTTGAATCGTACAAAACAGCTAAAAGTAACAGTTGACTTGTTAAGTTGCAGGTCAAAGCAAGTAAGCAAGTCTTTTTAACTCATTCACTGCCATTGACGTCTATAGCCGTCAATGGCAGTGAATGAGTCAATGGGTTTAACTCATTCACTGCCAATGGCTGGCAGTGAATGAGTTAAAGAAACAGTTGAGATAAATCTGGACATAACTGACGTTTCATGTTTCAATTGTTCATTTAAAAGAAAAGTAATAATGCAAACAAAGCAAAAAAAAAAGAAAAAAAAAAGAATATTTTTAGAAATAAATTCGACGCTGAACTTCTAAGGATGACTCCACTTTAAACCTCACAGGTTCATGCAGCAGTGTGTAAACTTCGCTCTTTTGTCGGCCTCGTGTTTGCCGTCAGTGGAAAACAGTCCACTTCTTCACGTGTCTTTATTTAACCGTTCATTAACTGCCTGTTATCTTGGACAAACTGCCAACATGCACCGTGCTCGTCAAGGTGAAGTGCTCTAACGCTCAGACTGAGCAGAGTATGAAATGAGTCGCGCAGATGCAGTGGCAGCTTTCGGGGTTAATGATTAACCAGGTAAAAATTCAAAGCACGCAGCCCATCCCTGCTACAGTCTGTCCTTGCCTTTTAATGAGTTGGACAGATGGCTATTACTGATAACTGTCAGATTACTGGCGCTCACGGCGTCTGGTCCAGCTGGACAGGTGGGACTTACCTTTCCTTCCCTGAGTACTGGGCCTGGAGAGCCGGTCAGACACGCCTGAAAAGGCCTCCACAGGCATGGAGATGGGTCTGGGTTTACCTGCGAAGAGTCCAGAAAGAGCAAAACATCAGCTCCATCTCAGAGACACTACTCCTCTACTTCCACCTCAGGCTGACACTTAGCCAGATATTAGAGCACAAACCAATATGGCCCATAAACAGCCAGCTGCAGTCAGTCTAACAGAAATGTTTTTGGGGTTTTTTCTTCTTGGGAGAATCAGGCTGTTTTCTAAATCAATGATTCATCTTTAAATCCCCAAAGAACCACTCCTGGCTTAAGGTGTCCTTGATTACTATGACCCAGTAAAGCTTCAAAATATAATACAATGCATTCAGGTTGCTTTGTGGTGACTCCAGAGACAAAGGTGGCACTATATCCCAGTGTTCCCAACCAAAACCAGAACAAAACGGCTCCAAACTCAGCAGGGAGGAATTACTGTTCATGAAATCAAGCCTTAAAGTCAACAGAAGCTCTCTGAGGATACACAGTCTTATTAGTAGAAACGCTTTGTTTGGTTTGATGGGGCTAGATTGGGCCAGACACATGACATCATCTGATCTGCTATTCTCTCACATGAAATCACAGGGACTGAACTACAGAAGTGTCAGGTTAACCTCATGTGTGGACATTACATTTTAGTCTAGTCTCTTATACTGCCACTGTTCTATCGAAATGTAAAATGATTGTCCTCTTATGTGGATCTCATTTTCTCAGAAACAAAAAACAGAAAAAAAAAAAACTTTTTAGGGAATTCTTTGTTTTGCCATGAAAGAGTTTGGGTCTCAGGAGGTTAAAGGATTGTGAGGTTAAAGTGAGCCTCTGACAAAAGTTCAGGGCTGCTGTGCATGTGTGAGAACAGTCTATGCATCAAGCAAAAAAAACCCAAAAACAACAACTAAAAAAAACAGTTGATTGTGGTTTTATGTGCTTTCACTTCCTGTGGTACTGTAAGTGTTGTATAACTCATCATAACCCACATGTTTTTCCCCTCATTGTGATGCTCTTATTTTGTCTTTGTGCTGTGATGACTGGCTGCTGGCTGTCGCTTCATATTTTGACCCTTGGGCATGGAATCACTCGGCCTATAAACTTAGTCTGGATATAAAACACTGGGACAGGACTAAACTTTTTCCTTCTTATTCAAAGTATAGTTTGAGCTTTGTTTTCATTGTTAGACTAAGCTCTAGAGCAGTGGTGGGCAACTCAAGGCCTTGAGGGCTGGTGTCCTGCAGGTTTTAGATGTGTCCTTGATCCAACACAGCTTATTCAAATGGCTAAATTACCTCTACAACATGTCTCGTAGTTCTCTGGAGGCCTGGTAATTAACTAATCATTTGATTCAGGTGTGTTTACCCAGGGTGAGATCTAAAAGGGCAGGGATAGCTCAGTAGGTAGAGTGGTGGAACTATGATCGGAAGGTCGGGGGTTCGACTCCACTTAACGGCTACCCTGAGGTACCCCTGAGCAAGGTACCGTCCCCACACACTGCTCCCCGGGCGCTGCACTGCTTCACTGGGTGAATGGGTTAAATGCAGAGGAACTATTTCCCTATGGGGACTAACACATACACATTATACAAAACCTGCAGGACACCGGCCCTCGAGGCCTGGAGTTGCCCACCCCTGCTCTAGAGTAAGGTTAAGAACCTTTGTGTCCTTACAGCGTGAGGAGGAGCGCTGCCTGAGGCGAACTGGGATAGGATGACTGGATTCAGGTGGAGGGAAGACAGACGTCCGGTTTTCCTCTGCTACAGTGTAGCGCCGCTGCCGCACGTCTGCATCCAGATGCGAGTTTGGAGACTTGGGACGCATTTTCACACCTGCAAATACGCTTGTGTTCCCATCTCTGCCACAAGGAGCAGGAAACTCAGCATTACAGGCATAAAAAAGAAAATAAATAAAGATGATTCTGAAATCCTGAAGCTTGAGTGAGGTACTTACAGCGGGACATATGGCGCTTCTGGGGGAGGAGGGATATACAAATCCAAGATGGTCGTCTTCCCTCTCTTTCCAGGAGCATCTGAGGTTTCTGACTCTCGTGATTTATAGAGACTTGGCGCTCCCTGAGAGGTCTAATAAAGAAAAAAGACAAATTTAAGCCCTTTAATAAAGGAAACAAAAGAATCACATGTAACTAACACGTTTGGTTTGTCTCTTCTAATCTGTGTTTTTGGTTGCTTCTGTGTCTCAGCACACAACAGACGATGACTTTGTGAACTGCGTTTATCGTCAAACAAAAGCGAAAGTCGTTCCAGCTCAGAGGAGGCTTTTCTGTTTCCTTCCTCACTTTCAAGTTCTCACAAACACAGGAACTTCATTCAGCTCGTTTTCTGTTTCACCTGCACTTTGAAAAACACGTTTAAAGGACGTTTCAATGCAGCCACTTTTAACCATGCCAGACTTAATCCAGTCTGGCGATACTGTGAATGCTCCTAATTGTGAAAAATCCAACGAAAGACCAAAACAAGCAGAAACTGAGTGGTTTCATTACCACTTTTACACCCATTTACACACACATACACTTCCCTTAAAAGGGCTCATTTCATCGTTAAGTTCATTTCATTGATTGTACTATTTGTATTTCCTTCTGATATCTGTACCTAAGCTGAGGTGATGCAAAAATTTCCCCGTTGTGGGATCAATAAAGTCTTATCTTTATCTTGTCTTATTCAGTCAACCTCAGGTTTGCTGCAGTATACCTGATGTTTACGAAGCAAATCTGATGAATCAGTTTTGAAATATGTAAAGACCCAGTAAGATGCTTCAATATAACTGCCAACATTTAAATGCCTAGGAGTGTTTAAATAAGGAGCAAGACATTTTTCTAAAGCCCTTTGATCAAACAAAAAACACAAAGTGTTTATGATGCTGTTTAACCCTAGAACTCATGTACAGCTAAAACTAGCAAAAGTTTACTTTTTTCCTTATTTAAACAGCAGATTTATTAATTCAGTGTTTAAAGTCATTAAGACACAAAGAAAAAAGAAAACAGACAAAGTTGTTTCATAAACAAGCAAACAGCTGACGTCCTGCTGCAGTTTCTCACTTTCTTGCATAAAACACGGACGTTTAAAACACAGCAATGCAGTTTTTGGGACAACTTGTTTGTCATGTCAACTCAGTTTATGCCATCCCCCCCCCGTTTTCTGACAGGACCTTAATTCCCCAACACTGACAGATGAGTTCACCTGGGTGGGTGTGGCTCCAGTGGTGGAGCGCTTGTCTCACAAAATAAGAATAAGAGGTTCCATTAGTGACCCCGGTCTTTGCTACTTGATTCAGTCATCTGTTTTTAACACCAAGCTGACTGAGCTAACTTATTCTTAACTTATTATTACTCATTCTAATAGTTTCAGGCTTGTCATTGTTCCCACTTCACAAAACAAAAGAAACAAATGTAAGTGCAGGTGGCGTAACCTTTGAAGTGAATGGTGGGAGTGACAATGAGATAAGAGATCTCAGATCTGTTTTGAAAGACTGAGATTAGAGCCTGAGCTCATCAGCTGAGCTACCCAGCGCCTTTCTGGATTCCTATCTCCCCTAAACACACACATCCTGGACCCCTGTCAGCACAAAACCCCTGAAGGTGGTTTGGTGAATGCAGGATTATCACATTGTGAACTAAAGTGTGAGTCAGCCACCGCAGATCTGACATCAACGCAGAGTTTTTCCTATCTTCCTTTTTTTCAGGAAAAGGGAAGAAGGGCTCCATTGTTTCACCCGCTCACCTCAGAGGAGCTGTAGACTGAGCGGCTGCTGCGTTTTCTGCTCGAATCAAAACCTCAAAGCTACGACAAAGACTGAAAACCACCACGTGCAGCTTGATTTTCTTACCGACACAGTCTGCTTCACTTTCATGCAGTGACGTCTGTCACAACACTACAGCTGCTGCAGGTTCAGGACCTGCGTCAACTACGCCTCACCTGGAAATTCTGCAGAAAGAATCCATTATCCTTCCACATTTACCGTTATTAACCAGAACTTTGTGCACTCGTGCTTTTTCTTTCTTTCTTTTTCCCCCCCACAGGAAAAACTTCGACTTCTCTAAAATCGAAAACACAATCACTCCCAAATGTCCAGTTTGAACCAGGAAAAAGAACCTCTCCTCACTTCTTTTTCAGGGCCAATAGATGAATCTGAAGGCCAAAGTGTCAATAAAGTTATGTAGAGCTATTTCAAACTATGTTTCTTAATGCCATTATTTGTATTGACAACATATAAAGATGTAAGAAATGATATGGTGATTCTAAATATCCCGTTATGTTGAGCTCTTCTTCAAGGTCAAATGTTCAGAAAATGTTGTATCTTTAAGATTTGCCCTTTACAAGCTCATTGTTTAAGTTTAGAGGTTTACAAGAACATGTTTGCATGTTTTAATATCAGAAGAACAAAAAAAAAAAATCTTAACAAGGACGACTTCTTTGTTTTACAGTGAAGAGAAGTGTGTTAACAAGTAAAGGCTGGATTATAATCAGTCAGTTTTATTGGGTGAATTTGTGTCACTGTTTCAATCCTGACGACAAAAACAGGAAAGTGAATCATAAAAGCTTCATTGTGAATTTTGATGTTTTAAAATTCTGTTGTGCATCAGGAAAGCAAGAGAGAAGCAAACAGGTTTGAGTACGTGTTACGCCAAACACTGATTTATCTGTGGATGGGGAAATAAAACCTTCAGTTTCTCAGTGACTGAGTTCACAAAAATGTTTGTGTGTAAGAAAAAACACAGGTAATGTAGCGAATTTGAGATTTCAGGATATACAGACTACCTGCTCAATTCTGCTGCGAAGTTTTTCACTGATGAAAGTTCTCTTTTCGTCCATACAAGCACACAAATAAACGCTCCTGAGCCGGGGGCTGTTAGGGCTGTTAATCTGCATTTCAGATTCATTTTGGGAAGTCCGAATACTGAGCTCATGTTACAGCGAAAAAGAGAAGCGAGAATACATTAGAAAACAAAAAGACTCCAGATCATGTTCAAGCGTTGCATTTTACACAGAACTTTAGGCCTGAATTCCTCATTTTTATTGTGCAGTCATCATGTTTTTGGTTTCATCAAATTATGTGGAACTTGTGGATAAAAAAGGTAGAAAAACTGCAACACAAGTACTTGTCCATTTCTACTCCAGCTTGGGATTTCCCCACATCATTTGACCTCTCCACGACAGGAGAACAATCTGCCACCACAGAGGGCCTCCATCAGGAAGGATGAAAAGGAGGAGACAGTCCCTGGTGTTAGTCGTTTATTTTGCTGAGAAGCACTTCAGCACAATACAAGCGGCGGCTCACCTGCACAAGCGGCGGCCTCCAGCGCAGGTTTTTCAGAGGAGCCGGTGCGAAGCTGGCAGAAGGTCCAGAGGGCCTCTTCTTCAGCATCAAGACAACACCTCCAGACTCCGCCCTCAACTTCCCCACCAGGTGCTTTAGCTGCCAGCCCACCTGGACCAACCAGAGCAAAAGTCAGAGAATTGCAGCCTCTAGAGAGCACTAGCATGAGGAAAGACCTTAAACTTCACGACCCTGAACGTCAGCGGTTAATGAAGCATTTCACATACTGTGAGCTATGAACTGTCATGAAACCTGCGGAAACGGATCCAACTCTTATACTTGGCCTTGGTTTAGTACTGTCTGAAACAAGCTGTTTATTGGCTTACAGTCAGTTTCATGTAATTCACATCACATTTACACTTACATGATAATAAATATTTTATTAAGATCAATGCATTTGCATGATTGTAAAATCTATAAATCTCACTAATAAGTATTTGGAGTATGTACATTTAATAAATATTGTGATATCTTCATTAGTGAAAAACATGTTAAAGCCAACTTCCTTCTGATTGGCTGCTCCTGCTAAAAATAAGCATATCTGAACTGTAGGTAGGTGGAGCTTGTGTTTTCTTCGCCTATCTGAAATGGCTCAGAGCAGTCTGAAGTCTGACCTTTTATTTCACAAGGCCACGTTTAACATTAGTGTTCACTGTTGTAGCACTAAATATATGACAGAAAGGAAAAAGTCCTGCATACTGAAAAGTCGCAACACTTCAGTTTATACATAAGACAAAATAAAGAAGATACAACTTGTCGCTTGAAAAAAAAGAGAGACAGCTGGACTTTGTGAAGTTTGTGAACATGTTTCACGTGTCATCCAAGAAGATTGTTATACAACTAATACCTGAGAATCCTCAGGTACTTGACACTACAGTCAAGTGTTGAAGCTACGTCCTGCCTCGCAGACGTGTGTGGGATCTCTCCATCTAAGAAAATGACTAAGGCCATTTCCCAAAATGATGAGAAACTTGTGGCTATTCGACTCACCACTGTCTGTTTGTTGACCTGAATGACTTCATCTCCAGCGTGAATCCTCTGGGTTTTATCTGCCGGAGACTGAACAGCACACAAAGAGAAGCGCAGAGTTTAACAGACTAACATTTCATTGACTGCATGTTTCCATGATCTCTGGTAGTGATGAAGACTTTCAGGAGAGATTTTTTAAGTCTATAAATGGCACATGAGCGGCGAAGAAGACCCAGAGGCTCACTCACGTTCTCTGTTGTTCCCGTGATGACGTGAAGCCCGTCGTAGGTGGATTTGATGTAAATCCCCTTAAAGATAAAACAGAACTTAAACATGGATCTTCTGCATAAATACACCTCCCACAGTTCCTCTGTAATTCCTCGCTGCAGCGGTGGCGATGGGGTTTTCCTTTCTGGACCTACATCTGTTTCTGTTTTTGATTCAACGCTGGCTGTGGTTCATGGCGTAGCACTAAAATACCTGTTAATGATTCTGAGGGGAAGTGGGGTCATATTGTGGGTTTTTCTTTTTACAGCAGTCAGTACTTATCGGACAGCGGCGTCCCGCTGACATAGCCCAACAGGGAAATGATCATTTCTGTCCCATTTGTGTATTTTCTTTTTTTATTCTATGCCCTTTAAAAGAAAATCCTCACCAGTCCCTCCCCAGGCTTGACATTGGTGATGTGAACCTCCTCCAAACAGGACATTTCCCTTTTTGCGGGGTCAGAAGTCGCTTGGACAGTTTTCTCACAGATGCTGTTGAGCGCTCGGGACTGAAAAACAAGAAAATATATACAAATAGGTTCAGCTTGTCCAATGGATGGATACATGCAAGTGTTCACCCAGTTATCAGGCAACAAGTGTATTACAGTGTGTTATTACACTGCTCACTCTTCTGTCCCATACAGCAACCCCAAAAATTATTTCAAAAGATATAAGAGTCTGATTCAGATTTTATACACTTTTATAAAACTGGAAGCTTTTTTGAAACCACAGGTGTCACCCACCTGGTAGTTATTAAAAAATGCCAGGGAAAACATTGTTATTTTGTATAATTATGCATATACGTGGGTTACATTGATTTTGTAAAGGTGTCATTCATTATGTAGGTGCGTATCTATGTAGGTTTGCGATTTATACACCTGGGCCTTTCCATCCTCAAAATGGGCCCGAGGTGGTGACTATGCCCCTGACTGGTTTGTGTAAATATGAGTTAAAGTCTGTGTTGCCTTATTTAACACTAGTTTTTCATATTGCTGTTGTTGGTTAAACCCTACCCTGCTGTAGAACAAACATGCACATGTAAGATAAATGTGCTGGTTTGGATTTCACAGTTGAAAGACTTGACAATAATTATCTTGTTTCCATGATCTAATCGAGAAAATTATTGGTTACCATTTTTTAAGTGGCATTTCTGATCCTTGAACTGCAAATACTGTTTTGACCATATGCAACAATGTCTAATTATATAAATAATAAAATAATACATTTCTGACTGCTAACCTTCTGGAATCAAACTCTACACACCAGCTTGTACACTGCTTGAGTTTCACGGTTACATTTTAAACGACATCAACTGCATATTTGATCTTATGACTTGTCTTGTGGTTACATTTTAGTGTTTTATAGCTTGTGTAATATCGTTGGACTGAAAATGAAACAAGGTACTTTTTGTCGTGCGTTTTCTCTCGAATAAAGAATAAAACATGATTCAAGACAGAAAGCCATTGGCAGCATGGTGGTCTTAGCTTACATCTCTCATGATGACTATAAAGTGCTCTAAATTTAGTCTGAAATGCTGAATCGCCTCCTGCACCAAATCTGCCTGATCCAAACCTCTGACCTTTCAGTGGAAAAGGGAAAGAAAACAACAGATGCAACAGGAGTTGGAAAAGCATCAAATAAAAGCTCCAAATACGGACGTGGGGACGGTGCTTGGTTTTGTTGTACGGGAGAAGAGCTTGACGCCTCTGCAGAACGAGAACAGCCTCATATTATCATCACAAATGACCAGACACCCAGGCCTGGAGCGCAGCACCGAGCCCGAGCTCATGGGAAGCAGAGAGCTGACCAGGAAAACACAAACCAGCAGGAAATTACAAGTAAACCAGGAAAACATGCTCCTCTGGGGATATAGCTGGTCAGCTTCCTGCTGTTTGTTTTTTTTCAAATATGGTGACTTTATTGCTCCCCTTACAAAAACAAAGTACATTTGCTTCATAGATATTTATCCCATAAAGTACTGGAAATATTACTAAAAAAAAAATAATGCAAAACCAATGTTATACTTCAGCAGTTTTTAGGACTAAATCTTTAGTTCATGAAAGACACTTTTATTCACATTATACTCGCCCATCTGTCTCCATGAGGATTACAACAGTGTGTACATTAAACATCAGGTCCATTTCCAGCCACGTTCTGTTTACTGTAAGCTGAAGCTTTTCTGTCCACTTGTCACTATAAGCCAAGTTTGCCCAAGTTAACGTCTTATAGATGTGACGAGTACAGAAAAAGTAGACGCAAAGAGCTTTTCCTGTGTAAGAAAACTGATTACTTACATATCAAATATCCTCTGACCACATGAATTTAAACAACGTGCATGTTTAAAATGAACATCCACCGCTGTAACAGTACAGCAGTGCTACTGTATAAAAAGAGGTCACATGACAAACTGGCTATGAGAAGGAAAGTGACTGAACTTCATCCAAGTGTGAATCCTGAAACAACAGGAAGTCTTATCTAAGACAGGAAGTGGATGTGCCTGAGCCGAATAAACAAACCTGCAGCACAC